GAATGAAGAGGTTAAGCAGGACTGGTTGTTGACCTGCGGGATCTGTCCAGGTTTCCATGAGCCTTTCCCCCACTCCAGCAGCATCTCAGGGAGCTCAGGTCTTTCCTGGAAAACCACAGTGGAGACGGCAGGCAGGGAGCAGCGTGGGTCGGGCAGCGACTATCTCAGCTTTAACCAAAGCAGGTGGAGATACAGCTGGGAGAAAAGCCAGGAGAGTGAAACACAGCACTACTTTTCCCTTCACGGCAAGTCACGGACATCACTGCCGGACCAGGCTCCCAGCCAGCCCCTACCCCTGCAGCAGGTTCAGTAACTGAAAACCTGAGCCCTGGCCAGGGCTCGGGTCCTTCATTCCCACTCTTGGGTAACAGGACAACGGCACTGTCTTTCCTGTCTCTCCCGGTAAAAACGCATAGATTTAGAAGAATAGCCTTCGTTCCACGCAACAAGCTCCCATTCTGTACAACCACGAAGGAAAATCCCAAACCAGCATAACAAGCTTGATGTGTGTCCCCAAGTGAGGCACAGCTCAGCTGGAACAGATGGTCCCTTAGGAAAAAATCCCAAAGGATGTAAAATTAAACATGGCCCCTGGAGAGAGGGGAGGGAGCGGCAGTCCTGGCGCTGCTGGAACTCTTCGGGACACAGCGGAGCAGCGGGAGGGTGAGAGTGGCTCACGGTCTCACGTGGTGGAGCCCGGCCGGCTCACAGGACAGGCACTGCGGGGTGTCTCTGCATCCAGACCAAGGTGTGAGCCAGGCTGGGGTGTTGCAGGCCCCTGGTTGGGATCAGCAGTGGCTGCTGGCGAGGCTGGAGCGGGGTCCTCAGCCCACGGATGGAGATGTCCGGCACTGCGATGGCGATGTCCAGCGCCTGCTCTGCCGGAATGGCCCCACCTGCAGCCTGTGCTCCCAGGGCAGGGCTGGGAAATCGCCCCGGCACGCACACAGCTCCACCCCAAACCCCATGCCACCGGCCCTGGCCAAGGACAGTGCTGGGGACACTCTCAGGTCACCAAGCACCATCGCATCCCTGCAAGATCCAGCTCCTTTGGCTCCTCTTCCCTGCAGCTGTGACTTCTGTCTCCCAGGTGTCTCTTCAGGTTGGAAAAGTAAAGTGAAGCATTGTTGTGCAGGCAAAAGGAAACAGAGGCACCAAAGGAAAAGTGAAAGTCGAGCAGGGAAGCCAGGGCTGGCACTTAGGGTGACCACCACGAAGGGCTGAAGATCTCCCGGGTGCCTTGCTCAGGTGTTCGCTCCTCACTCGCCGCTTCCTGTAGCCGAGCCCACGGCTGCCTGGCTGAGCACCAGCGAGGGCTCTTTCCTGATGGGTTATGGTCTTGCCATCCTGGGCATCCGCACACTGGCAAGCATCTCGCACAGCGGTGTCGTGCTCTGCCATACCCCGGTCTCCAGCCCAGCCAGTGAAACCCGGCTGTGTCTGGCACGGCTTCTCCAAACCGCACTAGCGCTGGCTCCTGCCACAACAGCAGAGTGTCCCCCAAAGCTGGCACAAGATGGGGGCACCCTGGCGGGCCTGCAGGGTGCCGGCGACCCACCGCAGCCCCGGCAGCAGACAGCACCGTGCCAAGGGAGCAGTGCAGACAGCGATGACGGAGCCTCCTCCTCGGATTCATGCAGCCCAGCGAGCTGGAGCCTCTTAAACTTGCTCGGAGCAAGAAATCCTGGGTGCACAGGAGATCCTGGGTGTGAGAAGGAAAGCGAAAATGGGCAGGGCGATTGCCAGGTGAGGCAATGTCTGTGACTCATCAGAAGCCGAGTGGCAGGACCTTG